ACAAGTCTTATGAGCCTGTGTGGGAGGCAGAGGATCGGAGAGAGCCTGGGAAGTTCATGCAGTATGTCCTCTACAGCAGACTATGAACAAGTCAGTGTGAGGTAGGCAGGAGATTTCCATTATGTAAACTGAATTGAGGTCTCTAATTTTGCTATTTGAATTTTGTTTTTAGAGGACAAACATCATACTTTCTAAGATTTAAAAATATACAGAATGAATTCTGTTTTTTTAATTATAAAAGCAAACATGCTCAATATAGAAAATTGATACAAATATGAATTATTAAGTAGAGAGGGCAGTGCCCCTTCCCACCCTTATCAGGTAAAAATTGATTTTGACAATCAGTACTATCTTCTCTAGGGTTTGCCAGGGTATTTTAATTTTTTTTTAGCATTAAATCTCAGCTACAAATGAATATGACTATTCTTACAATATATGATTTAAACTAATAGCCATTTTATGTAACTTTTAAGTTTATTTATTGGTTCACAAATACATATTCAGCATTTAAATATGTTCAAGATACCATGTGAGCTGTTATGTGAGTTCTTTTTTCAAAGGCACCAAATGCCCAGCTTTAAGTGCATGGTTATAATTTCTTATTTAATCAAAGGAAATCTCAGCAAGCCAAATACTGTCTGAGAAGAGTAGACAAGATGTGGTTAGCTGATAAAGCATCAATGACAATGCGTAGTATGACTGTCAGTGCCAAAGCTGAGACTTTCAAAATAACAATATCACACCCGCTCATTACTTATAAATTATATTGGAGTCCAATGACTGGCTAAAACTTGTTCAGTGTAAAGATGTTGGCAGTTTCTGTAAACCAGAGAGGGAACCTCCACAACTTGGGGAATTTATAACTGGAGATTTAGTTACTTAAACTGAGCCCACAGATTATTTTGGTTTATTCATTTAATCAGCGAGTATTTATTTGTTACTGCACACCAGGCACTGCAATAGACGCAGAAATGGTCCTCAACCTTACAGAGCTTATGTTGGGATGGCGCCGTGATAAGCATGAAAGTTGGAGGCATTCTTCTCTCCATGGCTCTTTGAGATCTGTGGAGTCAGGGCAGCTGGTAGGCAAACTCTGTTTTGTAAACATAGAGAGCTTCCAAGGCAGTATTATAATAAACATGAGTTGAGTACCCATATTGTTGGTGTTGCCAGAGGACAGGAATAGAGGGTAATTTTCAGATCAATGTAGCGCTTTTCTTTCTCTGTCTTCCAAGTGGTCTTAATCAGATCATAAATTTGGTGAGGGAGCAGATCAAATCTCTCTCCACCCAATCTTCTGTCATCATGGCTCGCTTTTTTTTTTCAATTATATTGATTATCCTCTTACAGTTGTCCTGATTTTCACTCTTTTGCCTCCCTCCATCCAGCACCCCCCATTCCCTCAGACTATTCCCCCCACCACTGTTCATGTCTGTGCATGATGCATATAAATTCTTTGGCTACTCCATTTCCCACATTTGTACTTCTTAGTCCCCTCCCCTCTTCACCCATTCCTCCATACCCCCTCCTATCCGCCAATCATCAAAATGCTCTCTGTATCCATGTTTCTGTCTCTGTTCTTGTTTGTTTAGGTTGTTTTTTAGATTCAGTTGTTGGTAGATATGTATTATTTGCCATTTTATTGCCATAGTTTTGATCTTTTCTTTAACATTTCATGCAATAATGGTTTGATGATGAACTCCTTTAGTTTTTTTTTCTTGTCTGGGAAGCTCTTTATCTGCCCTTTGATTCTAAATGATGGCTTTGCTGAGTAGAGCAATTTTGGCTACAGGTCTCTGCTTTTCATGACTTTGAATATTTCTTGTCAATCCCTTCTAGCCTGAAAAGTTTCTTTTGATAAATCAGCTGATAGTCTTATGGGAACTCCCCTGTAGATGGTTAACTGCTTTTCTCTAGCTGCTTTTAAGAATCTCTCTTTATCTTTAACTTTTGGCATTTTAATTATGATGTGTCTCGGAGTGGGCGTCTTTGCATCAGCCTTGTTTGGGAATCTGTGCTTTTTGCCTGTTTACTTCCTTTACCAAATTAGGGAAGTTTTCTTTCATTATTTTTCAAATGGATTTCCAATTTCTTGCCCTTTCTCTTCTCCTTCTGGCACTGCTATCATATGGATGCTGGACCTCTTAAAGGTGTCCCAGAGGCTGCTTATACTATTGTCATTTTTTTGGATTCTTTTTTTCTTCTTGTTGTTCTGATTGGTTGTTTTTTGCTTTCTTATATTTCATGTCATTGATTTGATTCCTGGCTTCATCCACTCTTCTGCTCTTTCCCTGTGAATTGCTCTTTATTTCAATTAGTGTATCCTTCCTTTCTGGCTGGATCTTTTTTATGCTGTTGAGGTCCTCACTAAGTTCCTTGAGGATCCTTATAACCAGTGTCTTGAATTCTGTGTCTGATTGATCGCTTATCTCCATTTCATTTAGCTCTTTTTCTGGAGTTTTGATCTGTTCTTTCATCTGAGCCATGTTTCTTTGTCTCCTCATTTTGGCAGCCTCTCTGTATTTGTTTCTATGTATTAGGTAGAGCTGCTTTGACTCTGTGTCTTGGTAGTGTGGCTTAATATAGTAGGTGTCCTGCAGGGTCCAGTTAACAGCCTCCCCTATCACCTAAGCTGGGTATTTGAGGTACACCCTTCATGTGGACTGAGCACTCCTCTTGTAGTTGAACCTTGGTTCCTGTTGGCAGATCAATGGGAGGGATTTACCCAGGCCAGCTAGATGCAAGAACTGGCTATGCCCACTGAATACCAACGTCTGGCCTCCTTAGAGGGTCAGCTGTGCAGGGGCAGGGTGGTGGTGCTCTGCTGTGGTATGTAAATGTCCACTGGGTGTGCTGACCCTGGCATTTCCTGGATGATACAGGCCGAGGTCAGCCCCTACTTGTGTTTTGCCTGGGGCTGCCCTTCTTGAGCTATAAAGTAATCTGAGATGGCTGATACTTGTGTTGGTCTTGGAGATTCCCAGATGAAGCCAAGCTGTGAATCTAGGCTGGCTGCTGCTTGTGCCAGGCCTGGGGCTCTCTGAGGCCAGGTGTTGCTTGTTTGAGAAGATTTAGGAAGTTGTTAAGCTTGAGCCAAGACCCACCATTCATATGGTAAAGGAGCTTGGGTAGGCCCGTACGTTGGGTGGGGTGGAGTCTCTGGGGATCTCCAAGGCAGGTCAAACAGTGTTAACTATGTCGATGGAGTCTTTGGTATGGCACCAATTTGCTGGTTCTGTTGGAGTAACGGTTTAGAAAAGGGGCAATAGCCTTTGCTTGCCTTGATGTTAGGCACTTCAGTTTCTCCCTTTATGCCACTGGTGTCTTTCAAAATGATACCCCAGTGCTGGAGCTCAGAGGGAATGAATCTGAGTAGGTGAGTCTGTGTTTGGGATCTTTAGGAGGAACTGCTTAGGGCTCCAGAAGTTTATTCTACCAACTCAATCCCCACTGGTTTTTGCACCCAGAAGTTATGGCGACTTATCTTCCTGGCACTGGAATCCTGGGTTGGGGAGCCTGGTGTGGGTCTGGCACTACCTGCTCCTGAGTTACCCCTCCCAAATTTTTATCCACCACATGTGGATAAAATGTGGAATGTGGACCAGCCCATTCCACATCTGTGCCCCTCCCACTAGTCTGTATGGATGTGATTTCTTTAATTCCATAGTTGTCATATGTCCATTCCACTGGATCTCTGACAGTTCTGAGTGATGATTGTTCTATATTTTAGTTGTAATTTTGATGTGGTTGTGCAAAGAGGTGAGCCTCGTCAGTTTACATTGCTGTCTTGACTGGAAGTCTTACGGGTGCTTTGTGGCTTGCTTTAAGAGATAACATGATAAGAACAAATATTGCAAAAATAAACATGTCTAAACCAATCTGTTTGCTACCTGGCTTTTTGTTTTGTTTTGAATGTCTAATAGGATCTTTTAGCACTCACTATGAACTTAAAGGCTTGCACAGACTTCATTGCAGGAGTCCAGATGATCCCACAGTTTTGATGACAACACCAAAACCTTGCACACCACAGCCCTTGTCTGCAGAAGTTACTTTTATAAATAATAAAGTAGAGGTCAAAAGAAATAACTAGTTGAAAAATCTCCATTTTGTTTTTTCCCCTCTGACTTCATCAGCCCATCCACACATGGTTGAGGTTTCAGTGCTGATCTAATCAGCCCGAGAATGTTGCCCTGTAATTTACTTTGGCAAATCCAGCACCACGTGACCTTCAGAGGGGGATTCCTTAAATCCACATGTCAGTGCAAACATCAATGAATTTTATTTCTTTTTAAAGAAATATATTTTTAAACCCATTTTTGGGCAATTTTGAAGGAAGTTTTTTTTTGTAATAGAGTTTACTTTTAAAACATTTGGAACTTTTGTTTCTGATGATTTATATAGCTCAATATTTTTTAAGAACTGGAGTAGGCCTTCAGACACACACACTCATATGTATTCATATACCTATATATACCCATGTGTATTTTAACTGTTAAAACTTGTGTCTATTAAATACTGGATGTTCTTCATTGTAAGTTCTGTAGAAGAATCTATAATATAAACACTTGATAATAACAGAACAAGGCAAAGTATGAGTTCAGTGGAAAAATACCAGACTTCACATGATTTAGCTATACATTTAATGCTCATTAATCATAACTTTTGAATTAAGGCTCCCAAGTGGGATACCTCTGTCAGAGGCATTTAGCATATGTAACTACTGTAGGAGACAAAGATGAAGAACTCTCAGACTTAATGAAAGGACCATAGCTAATGAATATGTAAGCAGGCTGAAATTAATCACAAACTTTCTGGAAAGAAATGTAATGAGTAATGTGTTCACAGACATTTTCTCTAAATACACAGAATGTAGAGTAGGGTGTTTTGAAATTTAGTGTCCCATGACTTGACTTGCTATATGTGTTATATAAAAGTGGCAAATGTTTTAACATTTTCTAGGTTTGTTCTTAGGAAAAATAAACTTCTTCCACATTTTACAGGTATACTTTCTCCATTGTTCTCCGTTCTTCTGTGGATAGCAGTTGCAATCTGCACATCAATGCTGTTTTTCTTTTCCAAACCTGTGGGTATTCGGCCATTTCTTGTGTCAGTAATGCTCAGATCAATATATACAATAGGTCTTGGACCTACGTTAATACTTCTTGGTGCAGCTAATGTAAGTACTTCACTTTGTACTGTCATAGATTAATTAAAAGTATGCTCTATGTAAAAATTTAAGTATGTGCTTTAATTCATGTATACACAGTACATTGTAATTTATTGTGAGTCTGAATTAACCTAAGTTTAATTTGTACATTCTTAATTTTGAGTGAAATACAAAAAATGACAAGTAAAATTGTTATATTTACAAAGGTCACATGTGGGGCGTGATCCAATTCTGCAGTCAATTTAATCCAATCTAATTTTAATGCCTTCTGCATTCTCTACCAGCAGCTATCGACAGAAATGACTTTGAGCCACTGTTAACATCTTGAAGTGACTTCTCAATCATCTAAGAAAAGATTAAATTATATTCAGTAGAATTCTAGAACTTTGTTTTTTTAATAAAATGACCAAGGAAGAAGAGTTGTTGTATGAGAAACTATGAAATTGGGCTCTTTTTATGTGAACAAAACCTATATACTTGTGAAAGGTGTAGATGAGATTAAAATTTTTTCACTAAATTTTAAACCATTAGAACAAATGAGACCATTTCAAAACTTAAGTTAGGAAAGTTTAGAATAAGTAAGCCAAAATACTCTTCCAAATAATGGCAATTGTACACAAGAGAAAATTTTAAAAGACTAGACAACTTTCTGGATGGGAGCTACAAAGGGATATCGAGAAAAGGCAAACCATCAGACTGATGAAAGAACAAATGGCCAAGTAAACGAATAAATATTGCTAATATGTCCGATGAAACACTTTTTATATCTTTTACTGAGTTTCTAGCATAATTTCATATATTCTGATATATGTATAGAGCCCTTATCTCCCCTACCGCACTATACATTTCTTAAGGATAATGATTGATTATTCCATGTTGGGAATATCATTGGTACTCAACAAATATTTATTAAATAAATTGGCTGATGAGTGAGGGAATGAGTAAGGGAAAGATTATTTTTGTATTATATATTTACAGTGCTTTGCATATTAAATACATGGCAAATATTTATTACGAGTGAATAAATTGAATAGTGAATCAAACTTTTGAGAATTATAAAGCTGAGTTAGTATGGCCAGTTGTATGTTTCTGAGTGTTATTATATTATAATTTTTCAAAAATTGGACACGATGTATATGACAGCTCCTTGTTAGCTAGAACATTCAGTCAATCAAATTATCTATTATTCCTTAATCATTTTCAATAAAAGAAAGTGTACTATACACACAAAGAGATCTCTCTGCACAGAATTCTGTAAAGTTCCGAATGTGTTATTCTATCAGTTTCTTGAGGGCAGAGGTTGTCACATTCATAGGCAGAATCCTGCCCTGCTCACTCCCTCCCAATTCCATTTTTTTCATCTTAGTACAATACCTAGCACTTAAACATTCAATAATTGTTTGTATGAACTGATCTTACACTTTCACTGCTTTAGAAATAAGCTATTTGTGCAATGTTGCCAATCAGGCTAATTAAGGAATCTGCATGGATTTATCAGAATTTTTATGAACTTATTAGTGTGTTCAGCTTATTATTTTTTCTTTAAAAATACATTGAATATTGAACCAAATTATTTGAAGAAACGAACAATATTTATAAACCAGTAACTGGTCCTCAATAAGACATTATTAATCCAAGTGAGAAAAATCCAAGTTTTTTAAAGTGAAATAATAGCTAAATAGAGTAGGGCCAAAATCAACAAACATTTATTGGGCCTCTTATATAATAGGTACTGAAAATGCCAAGAGGTAGAGGATGAGGTTCTTGCTACCCAGAAGCTTCCAGATAGTATGTAAAGAGATAAAGCATAACAATTTAATGTCTACTGGGGAAACCAAAAACATTTGGAGTATTTTTCTGTTCCCCTCAGGGCACAGGATAAAAACATAAGTTCTGCATGGAATTGACTATTCATATTAGGGACAAGTTTTATACTTTAAATTCTTGGTGAGAAGGAATATGCATGGAGATGTGTACTTCTTACTGACTGCGTGAATCTGTAGGCGCTCTAATAGCCTTCACAACATACAAACTTCCATGTACCCAGCCTCCAAATGATGCATCACACTGTGCCAGGACAGGGCTTTTTAACTAAGGAAATAATCCACTTAGACTTGGGACAAATTAAATAGAATAATTATAATTTTATATTGTAGATATTTATAAAAGAGCTTTTATTTATAGTTTTGATATTGTACAGGTTAATAAAAATGTTTTAGCAAGTAATTATTTACCTTAATATTTAACATAACAAGCTCATTATAAGATTGTCTGTAGTTGATCACTTCCCAGGAAGAAGGGAAAAAAATAAATGCAAACACATCATGTTTTATACCTTAGGTTTTTTTATATTTATTAACTTAATTTACACTTAAAAGTTTGCATTGTGTAAACAGGTGAAACTTCAAATGCTAAAATTATTGGTATTAGAAATAGGAGAAACCAAAGAGAGTATCTACTTGACAGTTAAGCCTTGCTGAGAATAAGGATTCTAGACCTTAGGCAAATCAACAAGCCTCCGAATTTCATTCTTCCCATCATTGGAATGAATACATTAAAACCAATGTCATGCTGATATATTCAATAAAAATTTTTTAAATTAAAAAAAAAGCCTATTCTATCCTCACTGTGCTGTTGAAATCAGTTGAGAAGATTAATGCAAAGGTGAAAACAACAGTAACAGTGATAGTGGTAGCCTAACAGTAAAGTCTACTATTTACCAAGTACCTAATATGTGAAGTACAATTTAATTGTAAAACGTCGCTATCATGGTCATAAAAATGTATTTTGGTTCACAGAGAGTTGCTTCTGAACTCAGTGTCTTTCACAGTGTTAAGCAAATGCAGAAAGTTCCTTTCTTTTTTTGAAAAAAGAATCAAGTGGAAGGAGAGAACCTCGCTCTATGTTCTAAGCGTTATCAGTTTTTATCATCTTTACTTGTTTCTAAATATTGAAGTTTTATTTAAATTGCAACAAGTTTATCTTGTCACAGGAGTCATGTCAGTATTTGAGATGTTTCAAAAGATTCAAATGTTTTTCTCTGTTATAAAGAATATCTTATAACCTAATACAGTTTTCTTCCTACCCTCGATGTTACATTTTTAGTTATTGGTAATGGAAATTAACATATTATTTTGGCAAATGTAAACATACATTTCATAAATATGCTATCACTTAATTTTTTCACACTATTAAAATTATTTGTAAATCTCATTTTAATATTTCCAGTCATATGGATGTTACATGTGTTTAACTATTCTATTAGTTTGTATTGTTTCTGTTTTTAGATATATATTATTTTCCATCACCATTTATCCCCCCACACCCTCTTCCACCTCTGCCCGCCCCCCTGCAGTCACCCCACTGTTGTCTGTGTGTGAGTTCTTTCTCTTTTTTCCCCTTTTTTCCTCAATTCCTCCACCCCCTCCCCGAGTTGTCAGCTTGCTCTCTATCTAAGAATCTGTCTCTGTTTTGCTTGTTACTTCAGTTTGTTTATTAGATTCCATGTATGAGTGAAATCATATGGTATTTGACTTTCTCTGACTAGCTTATATCATTTAGCATAATGTTCTCCAGGTCTATCCATGCTGTTGTAAAAAGTAAAATTTTCTTTTCTTTTTACGGCTGAGTAGTATTCCATTGTGTAAATGTATCATATCTTTTTTATCCACTCATCTATTGATGGAAACCCGGGCTGCTTCCAAATCTTGGCTGTTGTAAATAACACCACAGTGAACATAGGGGTACATATTAATAATAATTAATAATACAGAAAATACCTGTGAAAGATCTAATACCTTCTAAACACTTGTTATCTATAGTGTTTTTTCCTTTCTAGGAGTGCCTGGAAATATGTAATTTATTTAACAGCATTTATAAATCAGCTTCCTTTCTCACAGTTATTTGTAATGTGAAAATGTTTCCTTATCTCTGGACTTGATCTCATGATTTTGCACAGAAGTAAAGCAAATGAAGTTTAGCAGGTAGCTGTCTATTAATATACCCCAGTGTTCAAATTTAATACTCTCATGCCCCCAGTTTCTTACCTATAAATAGTTTCCTGGTAGGGCTCATGATACTGCTAATCTGTATGGTTGAGACCTACAACGTGTTTGTCTAACATGCAAATTCAATTATATATTCTGAATCAAAACTTCCATATCCTCTTCTCCCTCTCTCTAATGCTTGTGCGCATACACACATGCTGTTTCTCATATGATATGGTCACTGAATGTTCCTAACTTCTTCCGATATCAGTTGCAGAAACAGAAAACTGCCCCAATGCTGGGGGAAAGCTAGCACATGTCAAATTTAGTAAGAAACACTACAGATTACACAACCCTGTTTACTGTTCTGTTTCGCTGGAAATTTAAAAGATTTCCAGGGTAATTTTTGACTACATGAAAATTTTGGCTTAGGATTTGGCTGTAAACCTAAGAGTTCAACTTCTTTCCTGCCCACTCATTTATTCTTGCATTAATTTCTCCTAGGTATGAGCACTTAAAAACAAAAGGTCAACAATTTCTGATCTCTACAGAAATAAGTGGATGCCACTGCTGATTTCAGCTCTGCTTCAGTTCAGTGCTTATTGGAGAGAGTAGATGTATCCATCAACATCTAGCTCTAAGTCAAGATTCAAAAAAAAATCAATCTGAAAACATATAAGGCAAATCCTTATTTTTTACACAAAAACAGCAGAGGCCCTTTTAGGCAGAAATGTGTCCTTGCTTTTGCATTATTTGAGAACTAAAATGTATTGCTCTTTTGAGTATTTGAATTCAGTGCATTATGTTTCCTCTATGCAAAGGGATTATCATAAATTGTTTTCCTGAATAATTTTTTATGATTCAATTTAGGAAAGTAGAGATCAGGAAACAAAATATTTTCTTAAGCATATCATTTATCCTTCTGAAAAGTCACAACTCAAATTTTTAATTTTATATTTTATAGAACTCATTTCTATTTTATATCAAACTATAGTAGGTTAATCAAGGTAGTTTAAATTTAAACAATATTTGCTCAAAACAATTGACAAAGAGTAAAACATTGTATATTATTATTTAATTCAGACACTCTTCTTTTCACCATTTTCATAATGTTTATGAAGTACTACATTTATATCAGCAACTTTTATATAATTTCTGAGGTTTTAAAATAATGACTTCTTATAATAAACTTGCTCTTGACTGGTAAATGTGAAGATATTTATTCCACTGTACTATACTCAATAATGATCTAATAGAGATGTGATAATGAATCACTACATAGTTTAGAAAGACTTTCTGTTTCACATTATTCACATTGTTAACAAGATAATGAAAGAATTGATAGTATTGATTATTGAGAGGAGAGTTAATTAGCAGGGAGGAAGTTTAGAAAAGGTTTGAGCTTTATAGTTGCTATATTTTTTATTTGGTTTGGCTATCTTCACAACATGTCTCATTTTATCTATATTGACTTAGATTTCATAAAGTTGAAGAAAAGGGTTTTACCAACCTTACATATTTCACTTTTGCCTCAGAGTGTTTGTTTCTTCTTATGTTATTTACCAGTAAAGTAGTTCCATAAGGCAATTTCTTTTATATATATATATATAAAATCAACATTGTTGTAAAGAACAACCTTTTCCCCAAAGTTAAGTTTGGACATATAAAGACAAATATGGTGCTGTTAGATAACTTAAAATTCTCAGGGAACAATTTGGGAGAAAAAACTGAAATTTTGAAATCTGTACTCATTTCCTGATGACAAAGAGGCAAACCTGGCTCTTCAGTTTATAAATAACGTAGTGATTCTAGACTCAAGTAGATGGCACTAAGTTATGATAACTGTGTTCTTTGGAAGTCATTGAACAGATCACTGTTACTGCCAAAGACTCTCAGTATAAATTTCTATATTCTAAAGTTATGTCACAAATGGCAATATTAAATACAGTTTTAATATAAATACTCTACGTGGTACCAGTCATAATAAACACTCCAAAATGTTTATGAATTTATGACACATAGAGCTTAGACAGTATATGCACACATTTTACTTATTTTAATAAAGTATGTAGGTATATTTATAATTTTTATGTATTTAAAGCAAGTTGAATGCAAAAATAATTTTAATGGCTATTTGTTTAAAATAATAGTAGAGAAAGTCCAAGGTAAAAAACAAAAATCAAGGACAGATCTCTGGATATTTTCTCAAGACATTTTTCTGTTATATTTCTAGTATAATAAAAATATCATATAGGGCACTTTCAGTAAGGAAAATATAATAAGTAGTATTTAAAGAGTCATTGCATTAAGTGCTCCCTATGCTTTATGAATTGTCTGATCCTCTGAAGAGCTCTGTGAGTTGGGAACTCCTTAATCCCGGTTTTCAGAAGGGACAGTCACGGCCTGCGTTTGCATGACTAAGGTCATGGCATCGGTAGTGCGAGCGCCAGGATTTTAATTCAGGTCCGAGTCCCTTGCATAACTCGGGTCCTTATTCAGTCTCCTCTCTTTTCCTGGAACTGCAAAGCGTACAGATTCTGCCTGTGTTATGTTTACATACAGATTCATAAGCAGTCCCGAAAATTACAATAGGAAAAGTCATGAAAGAAAACCACAGACCTGTGAATAATAGCATTTGTCAATGACCTGTTATTTATGTGAGTTTTGGGTTAAATAAGACAGCAAAATCTAATTTTTTCCTCCCTTCAGCTTTGTAATAAAATCGTATTTCTGGTGAGTTTTGTCGGGAATCGTGGCACGTTCACCCGCGGGTACCGAGCGGTCATCCTGGACATGGCCTTTCTCTACCACGTGGCGTATGTCCTGGTTTGCATGCTGGGCCTCTTTGTCCATGAATTCTTCTACAGCTTCCTGGTGAGTACATCTCCGTGTGGACAATCACTGCTGAAAAAAAGGCACAATGCTTCTTCTTATGCTTCCTTTGATTTTCTTTTAAAGCGGGGCCTGACATTTAGGACAAATTATGGTATTTTTAGAATTTCCTAGGCAAAGCATGAATTGTTATTATTTTTAGTCTTTTTCTGTGAGAAGCTACATAGGTGGTGGAATTCTTTATTTCCTCAAGAGGTGGGGAACCAACTCCCCCACCTCATGCCCCAGGTTTCAGGGAACAGGCTGCTTTTGGTTTCAGCCAAATCATGTTGCCCGTTACATTTAGAGATTCTCCAATACAGTGTGGGAGAAAAAACTAGGAATATATTTTCTCGGTACTGGAATCACTACATTTTATTTACAGCGCTGAGTATTATGGGTATCTTTAGAATGGCATGTAAGTATAATTAGGAGGAAAACTGCCAACCCAGCAAAAAGACAGTGAGTTGTTTTAAGTAAAATCTTATAGTTTCAGATTTAATGTCATTGTTGTTAAGCTTATCTACATATATTTAATTCACGAAATGGATATCAGGTTTCTTCTACAGGTTTTTGGTGTGTGGGGTGCTGTCTGTTTGTTTTTGCTGGCTCTGAGTTTTTCTTCCTACATGTATGTTTATGCTCGTAAACCAGGAGAAGAACCAATATAAATATAAAATGTGTTGAAGCTTAAAGCACTACCAGATTAACACCATGCATAGGAGCAGTTCGTTTCTCTCTCCAGCCCAGAGCTGACATGCCGTAGAAAACAGTACCCAGTAAAATGATTCCCGAAGACAAGGGGAAGATCTAAAAGCGTTGTAGCTGGCCCAGTTTGCTTGCCTCCTGCTCCCACTGTGTTATCGAGCACGCCCATGTATGAAGACTGAAAAAAAGCTACTTTTTCATTTACTCATAAACACTTGGAAGAGCCACAGTGAAGAGTGGATCTGTTACATACGTTTAGATTTAAAATTATCTTCCAGGCAGTTAATTAGATCATTCACCAATCAAAAGGAAATTGTTTGTTTGTTTGTTTGTTTGTTTCAGGGGTCCAAATGAATTCCCTCTCTGTTCAGACTCACCTGGAAAATTTAATTTTTAAAAATCTGCCTTTGAAATACAGGACTGGGAGAAAGTAGATTTACAGTTGTTTGTGTGGAAAATAATACAATAATTGATAAATAATAATACAAGAATAAACTCTATGTTTTGCATACTCACTCCTGTAAATCTATGTTTGCTGACCGTGTATAAAGACTATTATACCCAGCACTTCAACCTGACTGTGATATGTGCTTCAACCTTCTTGTCTATAAAACGGATAGAGAGCGCCAGGATTTTAATTCAGGTCCAAGTCACATAAGTGGGGTCTTTATTCAGCCTCTTCTCTTTTCCTGGAATTGCAAAGGATATGAATTCTGCCTTTGTTATATGTATATGCAGACAGAATGCAGATAAAGATAGTATGGGAGACTAGTATTATCAAAAGCCATTAAAAAGATAACCTGAAATGATGTATGTAAAAAGTAAAGGTATTTGACAAAATAAATGTGTATTTGAATGATTATATGAGTTATTAATAGTAATGGTACTTTAATTTATGTTACTTAATCTTTTTAAAAAAATTTTCCTCTTGTCTTTTATCTTTTAAATATCACAATACTCATGCTAATTTGTTTTCACTGGGCTGGTTATGGAAAGGAAATAGTCCTATTGATGTTTAGAGTGCTAGAAGGAAATTGTAATGGACATAATAAGAAAATTCAGTTTAAACATGTTTTTAAAAATATTTTATACTTAAAAATTATATGAGTATGCATTCCCGGGCTTGTCCACAATGTCAATCCTGTATTGAAAATATTTAAAAAACACCCTAGATTTTCCTTTTAGAAATAAACAGAAAGAACCATCAGCCTGGCCAATGTCAACACCTTCTGTGCTCTGAAGGTTCTGATTTCATGAGGATAGAATGGGGCCTGGGAATATACAATTTTTGCAAGCATCCCGTGAGCTTCTGAAAGCTATAAATTTCCAGAAATTATCCAGAAACGACCTACAGCCTATTGTTAGACCTTTTCTTTAAGCCACGAGAGAGTTAAAGTTAAGAAAAATCTCCTTATGTCAACTAAATGCTTAAATAAGTCAGTGCATTGATAATTTGGGGGTTGAATTTCCATTAATTAATTTGTCTGTACTGAAAAATGTTGACGTTATTGCTAGAGTTTGCTGCTCCCTCCAGAAGACAGATAGCAAAATAGTTAAACATGTATTTTTTTATGACAGTTCCTAAGTTGAGCAAGCAATCTAATGACTTTAAAGCAATTATTTGCAAGGCTACTGTTAGATTGAAATGTAATTGTATAACCTTCAGTACTCAGAAAAACAGAGTACAAGACCCTGGGGTTTCTGAGAGGGTGTATGACACTCATAATTGATTGTTTCAACCAGTTGAGAAATTCTAGTCACTGCTAGAATTATTGAATAATTTCAATATTGGAATAATTTTTATCTAGTCACAGATAGTGAAAGACAAACCCCAATTATTCCAATTTTAAAAATACTCATTTCTAAACAGGTATTTATGACTTTTTAAAGTGAATGTTAAATTATTGCTTTTAATCAGCTTTTGATACTAAAACATATTCTTGCTAATGTATAATTTCAGCTTTTTACATAGCAAAAAAAAAAATCGTTTTCCGTGTTGACTACAGAAAGCAAATACATATCTAGGTTCTTGACTAGTGCCTAGATTTTCCTACTACTAAATGCATAATGGAGAATAAACCATAAGAGGAAGTGAACTAGCAAAATTGTGTATTATATTTTTGTTTATACTGTTTCCAAAAGTATATAGTAAAGTAATATGTTTTGCCCTCATTATACCCCTTTACTAAGGAAAGATGCTTTCATTTATCAAATATTTTAAAATTTCATGCCTTTTCTATTGCAACAGGCTCATAAAATTATTTTCATAATTTTGCCTCTAAACACTTGATTAAACAATACATTTAATGAGCCTGTCAATTGCTCATCACTTAAATGAACCTAATTCAGCATTCTCACTTTAGCCATTTTACATATTCCAGAAGCAACTGCAGAATATCAGTGAGACTAAAAATAGGGAATAAGTAGCTAAGTGGGTTAAGTATAACATTGTAGTTTTTTGAAATTTGAATTTGAAGCTATACTATTTTCATATATAATTGCAGTTATGTTGGTTAGAAAACCAGCAGATACATATTATATGCAGTGTTAGAGTTCTCATTATTAAAAAACAGTTTATTAATACATTTTAACTGGATAGCAATATATATTTTGGTTCATTTTAAAGGTATTATTTAGGTTGTTATTTTTTCACAGATAAACTAAAATGACTTCCATTTGTATTTGTAATGACCTTTATATTTATTCATCTTTTGCTCCTTTGCATTTTGTGTGTGTGTGTATGTGTGTTTGTTTGTTTCTTTTTTTTTTTTTTTGTAGCTTTTTGATTTGGTGTACAGAGAAGAGACGCTGCTCAATGTCATAAAAAGTGTCACACGGAATGGCCGCTCCATTATTCTAACTGCAGTCCTAGCTCTCATCCTTGTCTACCTGTTTTCCATTATTGGGTTCCTTTTTCTGAAGGATGACTTTACTATGGAAGTGGATAGGCTGAAAAACAGAACTCCCATTACAGGTATTGCTATTACTGCTAAATGAGCTTTCTCTGATAGCAGATATGATTTGTGGGTAGCTTGTTAGGAGGATTACAGATAAACAGTAATGGAGGAAATGTTTTCTTTCATTCCTTTGAAAACATGTCCTGGTTCTCTAAGAGCTCACGACTGTGAAATACTTTTAGGCTGTATATTAGCTGTCAGTGTGTATAGGAAAATCCTTATACAAGCAACATCATCTAATCTCAGTCTCAGTAAGAAAGTTTCAATGACAACTATATTCCAGAAGACAGTCAACAAACTTCAGTGCAGGATAACAGCTTTGTTGCTTTCCTCATATTTTTTCCCTCTCTCCCAAGAATATACAGCATCATTTACAACCATTATTTTACACGTATTTGCTCACAGTACATCATATTATACTTAAATAATTGAAAACGATAAATTTTTTACTTGAAACCACCATGTAAAGAAATAAGCATACACAAAATACTCAAAAGTATTTTCATTAAGGAGCTCAGTCCATCAGTATGTATGTGGCCATCACAATTTGTGTACAAAATTTATTTTTGTTGGCAGACCGGTTAGACGTTATCCATTTACACTCACTGTGATGGTTGCCGTATGAGGGCTTACTCTTTCCATCTTGATTTTGAATTTTGAATTATTATGCTTTCTACAGGTTTCTTTTTACCACTCTCCTGCCTTTTGCTGTTTTGGTTAAATTTCTTTTTTACTCTTTTTCTTCCTCTCCTACTTTGCTGAGAAGAAAGCATAGGTCTGCACTTTGCTGCTAATTTCTGTGGGTGACTTTGCTGCTGATAGATTGTAGGGAATGGAAACCGCAAGGTGACTCACTCTCTCCTCAAGCCATTAGGTTTAAAGGTCTGCTTTAATTAGGGGTGCCTTATAAAGCATATTCTTTCTTGCCTTTAACAAACATTTCTTGATTATTAAACTAATGACATTTGGTAGCATCTTTCTTAGAATATGGGATAATTAAATGACATTTAGATCTTTTATTAAGTCTAAGTGATCAAAACACAAAATATAGAGATCGTATACATAGATTGCAAGATATTAAACTTGAGACTGAATTTCATACCTAAGTATTATTTCTTGTTTTCAGGAACATGAAATATTTTGTGTTACTGAGTTTCTTGTTCTTTAAATGTTACTTTTTTCCAGAATTTTACAGGTATAAATAATTGGAGGGAAAGATCATATATATAAATACCCTCGAATTCCCTTTTACTAAACTATCTGTAAATCATAAACTACATGTTCTCAAAACTCTTTGAGTTTTAATTGTTTATGAGGTAGGATCACACTGAGTTAATAAGTACAGTGTGAGTCTGAAGCCAAAGCATTGTAATTCCTAAATTCAAATGTGTCCAGTGGTTATGGATCTGAATCTGATAGTAAATATTTTTAATTGTGTTATTTATAAAGGAAGTTAATATTGTTATACTGGAAATATAAATATCTTCCTTAGGAATATAAAAATATCTTCCTTTTTTGCTTCCAAAATAGGCAACACTAGACCTAAAATGTTAAGATTTTTACTAAATGTATTCATATTTATATAAAAAGCTGTTAAATAAGAGAAAGCATTACATACTATGAATCTAGCATATGAGAACAGCTAACAAAGTTAAACTCTTGATACTTCATAGATGAAGAGTTTCTGTTTCGTAAACTGAGAGTGAATGTAATACCATGCCCTGGAAAAATCACTCATCCTTTCATCATATTTGTAATTTACCTCAATGCCATATATTAATGTCCATTGATTCAGGGCATAAAGTTTATCGCTTCAAGTATTGAACACTTTACTCCCAAGATTGAGTGAGAGTAATTGAGGACGCCACACCTAAGTAACAAGTGCAGTTTGGAATGCATAAGCACGCAGCTCTTCAGTGAATGGGAATTCATAATGAGAACGGGAACAGGGAGAGAGGGAAGGCTGAGAGTTCTCGGGCCGGGTGGCCGGAGCGTTGCAGGGGCAGATGGGCGTGGGGGGTTGGAGAAGTTGCAAATGGCACTGGGAGTTTATTGGAAGTCAGATCCTACCTCTGGGACAGGTAGAATCTGCTTCCTGATAGACAAGGAGATGGAGCCTCCACCTGAAAACAGGGGTGGGAGGGGGGCAAGGTGGGGGGATCCTTGTCTTAGAAAAGCCTGAGGAGTTGGAGGGAAGGTTCTGTTGACAAGCACAGGTGACAGTGTCTCTCACACGTGTCCCTCCTTCTGCATCCTCGGGGCTGCCCTCCTGTTTCTCGCCCTCACTCCCTCTGATCTGGAATATTGCAGGAACCTCCCGGGTGGCTCCCCCCGCCCCCGCGCCCGCCGGCCTCCCCTCTGCCCGCCCCAGTCGTTCCGTCTGACCGCAGCGCTTGTTCTGTCTCACTGGCTCCAGCGCCTCCCAGAGACGGGTGCCGGCTGTGGGATGCTTGGTTTAGAATCATTAGCGTGGAAGCTCAGGGTGCTCTGCTGTCCTCTCTGAGCCTTTGCTGGTCTCTGTGCCTTTTGGCACACAAATCACACCTGGAATTGCCCCTTTTCCCCCCACCTCGTCTCCCTATGTGTAAATCCCATGTCTCCTTTAGATGGATTCTTCTCCCAAAAGCTTTCTTCTTTTGTTTTTCTAGAATTTACCTCTCCTTCTCCTAATGCACACCATGACTTTATCTGTACTTCACTTCCTCCAGTTAATAGAAATGATGTCTGCACTTCTCTGTGTTCCCTCATTGATTGTCGGTTCTCCACGGCCTTGAGTCCAGGCCCTCAGAGCCTGCCATGGAGTCAGCAAACCTTCGGTAAGCGGGGGAATGGCTACCAGAGCACACTCAGACGCCCCACCTCTCTCCCTCTCTGGCAGCCTGGAACCCGCTCTACCTTTCCCCCAATCTTGCCCAAGTCAGGGGGCAGGGGCAGATGGAGGTCAAATGTGTGGCCTCCCTTCTTCCTGCAGTGGACTCCAGTTCTGACGGGCAACCCACAGCCCGGGCCGTCTCCTCCCCGCGCCCCCCGCCCCGCCGCGCCCTAACTCCGGCTCCCACTTGCCACTTCCACCCTCGGGTCATCCAAGAGTCAGGGTAACCTAGCTGTGGCGTTGCTTGGAAACACACTTGAATATTTCTTCAACTTTTGGTATGTGAAAATGGACTCTCTCCCTCTATCTGGTGGACTTAATGGCTCAGTGTGGAAAAAAAAATAGGTTTGAGAGAAAGGAAGCTCTTCACTTTATATTTGTTACTAACAACAAAAAATATTTTTATAAAACTTTTTTCACATAGATAGGGACATTACTATTTTCTGTTTCCTTCTGAGCCAAGGAAATAACTGTTGAGCCAGCAGGCAGATGAACCCTTGGGGACAAAGGAAGAAAAGAAAGAACCTGAGCAGGGATCTGGTGGAAGGTTCTTGCTTCCTTGAGACATTTTACACCCTGTTCCCTTAGGACACCCCCGCCTGCAGTCCCGCCTCAGCCACAGGGACCCGCCCATGGCTGAGAGCTCAGGGAGCACCAGCTGCTTTGGGAGGAATGTGTTTCTGGTGTTCCAAGTCCAAGCCCTAAATGCCTTGGCCATGGAAACATTGTTATACATGGTGGTGTAGCAATGTCTAAAATATTATCAATACTTTATCAGCCACTTTAAAAAAGTATAAAAGGCCCTGGCCGGGTAGTACAGTTCGTTAAGAGTGTTGTCCTGATATGCCAAGGTTATGGGTTCTGTCCCTGGTCAGGGTACCTATAAGAAATATCAATGAAAACATAAATAAGTGGAACAACAAATTGATGTTTCTCTCTCTCTGTCTGCCTCTCTGTCTCTCTATCTCTGTCTCTCTCTCTCCTTGCCTCCCTCTTTCTCTAACATCAGTGAATTTAAAAATAAAATTAAAAGTATAAAAGTGAATTGGCCAATGAACCTATTCTCTATTTATAAAATTGCTCCAATGGCAAAACTCTGCAGCCTTTCAAACTAAGAGTTGAGGAACACAGCTAAAGCCAGAGTCGTAGTGTCTTTTATTTACATGCCTTTGTAATTGCGTGTTCATTTCTTGTTATTTGCATATTTGTCTCTATACCATATTCTACTTTGTTCTCAGGAAGTAATGACGTTCCTACTATGACTTTCACTTCAATGATGGGAACATGTGACAAGGAAAACTGCCCACCCACGACACCAGCTTCAAATACAGGTCAGTAAAAATGACTCCAGAACAGTATAAACTTGATGCTTCTGCAGTTATGTTTATGTGATAAATGTTATCGCCTCTCACAGAGTTGCAATTTCATGGTGGTTTGAAATAGAAGAATGGAGGGTAAAAGAACCAAGAAGTTCCAAACTAGGGAAAGGGTTCTCAAATCTGCTACTTTGTATCCTCATCCTGTTCCTTATATTATTTCTGTTCATGAGAATCTTTTTTTTTCCCCATGGGAATCTATTCACACTTACCCTGTGGTACATGCTGTTAACAATCCTACTACCATATGGCAAACCCATACCACACTAAGCAAGACCCTTCTCACTATATGTCCTTTAACAAAGAATCTGGAAATGCACGTGCTCAGAATTAAAAAATCTTGGTTCTAATCCTGAGCTTGCCACTTTCTAGCTGTCTGTCTTAGACATGTTATGCAAATTCCCTGGGCTTTATTCAGGGGGCCTGCCCAGAGAGGGAAGGAGGGAGGAAGAGACAGAGAGGATGCGATACTTTCCCTGCTTCCACAGGAGCACATGGAAACATGCATATAAACATAATTTTAAAACTCTAATTGCTCTCAATTGTTGGGAAACTATGGCATGTGTGAAATTTAATGAGCTTTAGAAGAAATTAGTGATCTGTTGCCAGAAGCAGCAACAATTTAGGGAGCATATGTCTTTAAATAGTTAAAGAAATACACACACATACACACACACACACACACGGAGTGGGTTTAGTCTGTATTATCTTAATAAAGACAAAATTGGATTCAGGGAAGATAAAGGAAGAAAGAGTTAAGCACAGTGTAAGGATGGATTCCCCCACTTCCATGAGGGAGCACATCAGCTGGCCATAAAGGATAGGCCTCCATACCCGAGTTGCCTTTTTCTTTGAGACGAACCCTTGCTTGGGGAAAACACAGGGAGTCCCTTCTACTGACTCAGTGTTTCATGCTTCATGACCCAAAGGGAGAAAAAACGCACGAATACATTTCATTCCAATGTCCCAGCCACTGTAGGCACTGGGAGTAGTTGCCACCAAGAATTTCTTCCTCCCCTACGCCCTGGGTACCCAGTCAAGGCTTCCAAACAACGGACCAGCTCCTTCTCTGCTTGTGTAGCTTACTGAGCTCTGCAGTGTCTGCATTCCTGGTTACGTGCATCCTCCAGTTTCATCTCCAATGTCTTCAGCCTTCCTCACGTATCATAGCGTTGACTTGTGATGTCACATGCTAGGGTGAGAAGATGAGTGGCGGTGTCTTATTCTGGATGGTGGAATTTGCAATCACACTGTCTCTTGATTCCTGTGTGGCTGACTTTTGGCTACACCACCCTTCACTGGTTCAGCTGTCCAGCCATAAATGCCCATCCTGCACTCATCCATCTGGGAGTTTGGGATTTCAAGATTGAAACCATTCATTTATTTCATTTATTTCTGCCAACCGTAATCCAAGGGCCATTCTAGTTTGTCCTATGAATCAATTAGGAGTTTTTTGACCAGCTGATCTCTACATTTCAGGTGCCAGTTCTAAGGTGTCACGATACTTTTATGGATCCTGATTTTGTTAAACAATATATTTATTCTCTCTTGTGTCATCCTCAAGTTTGATCAGCTCTCCAATAGAGATTGGCAAACTATGGCTCATGGGGAGATCTGACTTGTCACCCTCAGGCTAAGAATGGTTGTAACATTTTTTGAAGTTTTTTTTTCCTTAAAGAAAAATATACAGTGGAAACTGTACATGGTCCACAAAACCAGTTTGTGCTAGAAATGTTGCACAGGACACAACAGAGATCTTTAGCTTGCTACTAGAAACATGCCTTCACATAGACATAATCATGTTTTGTGCAGTTCTTCACCACATGAAAATTTGTCTTAAATAAACTATTATTACTTAGCCCATGGTTCTCCATTTAAAAAAAAATTATTATGCTCCTTCTCAAAGCCTCCTTGCCAAAGCCCAGATATATAATGTCTTCCATATCCCCAATTGGAGGTTAGTTTGAACCCATACGGGCTTCTCTTGATCTTGACTCCTTCCACATTGTCACTTTGATGATCCACTTCAGTGTGTTGTCTTGGGGACCGGCATCAAGCTCATTTGCCAGTCGCTTAGCAATATCTGTCACAATCTCAAATTTAGATCTGCAGATACTTCTCTGCTGTTATCATTATCCATTATTTCTTTTAAAAATCACAGAGAGCAACTCTGAAAACTTCGACATAGTAGCTGGGTGAAATTAAATAGCTAGATAAAATTAAATAACTCAGGATCTTTTGGGTACCTGGGACTTCAATTTGTTGTCCCCAGTACTTCTTTTCTACTCAACATTTTTCTCTTTAACAAAATATGAAAAAGAATATGTTTACAAAGTTACTTTCTTGTTAGCACAAATATTTTAACAGCATGGTCCCAACATATATAGTAACCCTCTTCCTGCCTTGCTCAAATATTACTTTTAAATTATTTCCTTTATTTTAAAGAAGCTGTACTTTAACTATGGTTTGATTTTTAAGAACAGAACATTTCTTGGCCAGTGAACCAACAACAAAGCTAGCGTGCCTCCTGCCTGAAAGATGGCTGACCCAGGGAGCCCTGCACCGCAGGTGAGCTAGCGATGCCTGCCCTCAGCCCAGGAGCTGGAAGCTCCTGAGGCTCAGTCAGGTGACTGCCAGAGCCCCATCTCCCAGGGGGAGATCTTCCAGATCATACATGCTATAAACTTAGCCCAGGTTGTGGCTGCCCCGCCTTCTGCAGTCCCCAGACATTATTGATGTTCAACCAGACATTCTATTGTAATTGTTTCATACACTATTACTAATAGGGACATTCTAATCATAACATTGAAAAAAATGAAGTCAATATTTTTGTAAAACAGGAAATTAGTTGTCTACGTAGCACATCATTTGATGATGATGATATTAATAATTTTAAAAACCTTATGTGTTCATTTATTCATTCACTCATTCATATATTGATATTTGTTGAGCTTGTACTGTGGACCAGCCACCAGGCTAGGTATTCAGGACACAGTGTTGAGTAAGCAGATACGGATCCTGGCCCTTTTGGAACTTATAAAATAGTGGCAGACGCATAAAAAGTTATAACATATGGTGAGTCTTACCAGCGGTTCTATAATAGGTAGTCGCAAGAGAGGCTGGTTATAGAGAGATCAGGCAGAAAGTCTTTTCTGAGGAGGGATTATTTAAACTGAGTCATGAAGGATGAGAAGGAGTCAGGCCAAGAGGGAGAAGCGCATCCTTGTCACAAGGGAAAACAGCATGTGCAGACCCTGAGGATAAATGAGTGTGACTAATTATCCTCATATTATAGGTAAAACACTGCAGGACCCTAAGTAAGATCACATGGCTAGTAAATCAACCTAGCTGTTAGATTCCAAAGCCTGCACTCCAGCCTTCTGAGTTTTATTGCCTCCTAATTAAAGGATTAATCTCTATAAATTATTTCTTCCCTACCCCAAAGTTAGAGGTTGTTAAAATTCTGCCCATCATATTTCCTTTCCCTGAGAATGCTCGGATAGATTTTCTTTATGCATATTGTGTTCTAAAGGCAATTTCTTAAATATTCTCTATTATGTATTTATCAGCTGGAGTTGGTGCCTTTCCCCTCACTGTCCCAGGGATATTTGGCAACGTCTTAAGACTTGTTTGCTTGTCAAAAATCAGGGAGGAGCACCACTAGCATCTAGTGAGTAGAGGCCAGGGATGCTGCTAACCATCCCACAATGCACAGGACAGCCCCCACAGCAAAGAATTATCCCGTCCAAAATGTCAATAGTGTTGAGGCTGAGAAACTCTGTTCTAGTACATGGTCTGTTTGGATATTAGTTTGTAACTCTGAATACAAATTCATAAATGGCATCTCATCAAAACCTTTACAGCCTCTTACTTACCTAAAATATTACTCGAAGAACGTAACTTCTCTTTTCTCTATGGCTAAATGAGGACAATCTCCCAGGTGTATCACTCTGGGGCAAATCTCCACTTTCTTCCGGCTCCGCCTGAGATGGGAATGGTGAGGAGAGGCAGGTAAGCCCTTTCAGAAAAAGCTTCCGCAGTAGGGAGGAAAGAAGAGTGGAGGAGTTGCGGCCCTGGAGGTGTGACAGAGATGTCTTTGGGGGCCAGAGATGGTGGCAATAGCTTTTTGCAATCAGGGATCATTCCTCAATCAGAGTTAAAGTGCATCGGTCCACTTTTTCCTTCTGTGCCCTTTTTACATTTGGCATGGTAACTCATAAAATTCATCTGATTGAAAATTCCATGGATTTAATCTTGTAGTCCTTGTCCCCCTTTATATTTTGGCCACATGTATTTAACTACAAAAGTAGAGCAAAAGCTAGAACCTGGTGTTTGCTGTGCAGCATGTTTCACTTAAATTTAAAAATAACTTCTCTTTGTCTAAGACCAGGATTGAATTTTAATTTGCAAACCCTAGTGTGCATTTGTGATGGGCCCGGTTTGTCACTGTGTGGACAGCGGGGCTGCATTACAAAGGCCGAGACATACACAGCCGCATAATAACAAGCCTCGTGGCACTTGGGCGGCCGGCCGAGCGGCCAGGTCCCGAGGAAGCTCCAGCAGATGCTGGCAGGGTCACTGTCCCAGCGGCAGCACAGTAACTGGCAACCAACTGTGGCTGAAAAAAACAAGACTTTTTATTTCATGTGCTGCAGACCTCCCTGACTTACTAGACAAAACCATTCACTTACAAAATAAACCAAAAAATCTGATTTTCTAGAAAAGTAAGGCCTGCTGAGGCAATTTACAAAAAAGTCATGTATATGAGTAAAAAAAGTCACAATTTTCTAAGTAAAAAAAGTCATTTGAATGTAAAGAAAAGGAAGGAAGTTCACAGATGTCTAACACGCATGAGGAATTCAAATTTAATATGTTTTGGTATTTTACTTTAACAAAAACGATTGATGAATAACAGAAACTGATCAGCCTTAATGCCACTCTGCATTTTGGCTTCC